CCCATCAATCAATTGAAAAATCTCGCGGGATCGAACTACTACATGCCACTACTGAATCTAATCAAACAGAATTCGACGCCAAGTGCAGTTAAACAAGCAAACGCCTAGTCGCCCCAACGGGTCAAATCTCAAAATGCAAATCCCAGACGTCCTAGACTCTTACCTTTGCCTTTGGCCGTTTGCTTTGTCGTCACCGCCGTCTGATGAAGAAGTGGGCCCTGTTGAGGAAAACTCCTAATGAATTTTGAAGTTGACAAAACTTTCTATGTTTATCTTGTGAATCTGACATGCATTCTATTTCAAGTTAATATATTCTGGAAGTTTAGAAGGAAATATCAGACTTTACAAGTTCTCAGAACTAAAAGTTCAAACTCAGAATGAAAAGTTCAGACTTTACCATAAAAGTCATTCAGACTCTATTTTAAGTCTTCAAAGAACTTTAGACCCTATGAGAAATAGGTTCATTAAAAGAACCCCACTAATCTTAGTTCTGAAAGAAACGTAGACGCAGAAGTTATGCAGATGCAGACGCAGAAGTTTTGCAGACGCAAAAGCAAAACTCTTTCAGAACGAAACATTACAGCTAGTGATCTGGCATGGATTTCACAGAAGGAAAGTTTTGATTGTCTCAATCTAAGGTTATAATTGATTGACAACCCAACATTATGACAAGTATGCATTACAACGGATAAAACTCTACTTATGGAAACCAAGATTCTGATTGTATGGGCGACCAGAATCAGCGGGATTTAGATTTTGTCAACCAACGGCTACTCAATCCGTTTTATACAAATCTGTCTAAGATGAAGATTAGAAGATGATCCTCTGAAGACTGTCCAACGGCTAGTTTGGAAGTGGAGGAGTATAAAAGGAGATCTACGAGGAGCAGAAGGTGCAGAACGAAATCGAGAATCAACAAGTCCAAAGTCTGAGCATACTCCGATCCTTTCTCTTGTCTTTCTTGAGCTAAACACTAAGATCTTGATGGATACTTTGTAAGAGTGATTGTGTGAGATAGAGAGTTCTATCATACACAAGAGTGATGTCACTCAGAATCTATAATTCTTCTTGATTACATAGTGAAATCCAGCCAGTAGGCTGTCAGCGTGGAAGAGTGGACGTAGGCTTGCTAGAAGCCGAACCACTATAAATTTGTGTGCAATTTTTCTATCCCTTATTTCTTGCTTTACATACTGCACATTAAGAGCACTGTCTATATAAACTATTTTGAATCTGAATTTTATTCAGACTCTACTGTGATCAATCATTTCCGCTATAAATTGATCAAAATTGTTTAAATCACCTATTCATCCCCCTCTAGGTAATTCTTGCTAGCTACATCAGGCCTATGTTGCAGTTGCAGGTCCCACCATGACTTCCAGCTCGGTTGGTTAATCTGTATAGACAGATTGTAGCGCCGGGGTTTTTCCCATGTGGGGAATATTCCGCCGCCTCTGCCTTTTGTTCTAACAACATTGGCATGCATCGAAAGATTTTTCACGCTTACTGACCTGTTCCTACAGGGTTTGTTTGCGTAAAAACTTATTTTCTATCAGATCAAAACCACTTGTGAGAGAACTTGCAGTTTGTCATATGATTTCCATCCAAAATCACCTGTTTAATGCCTTTCTTTTGCGATCATCATTGGTTTGCTCGCCATATCCTTTCATTTTAGCGGACACAGCCTTTATGTGAAAGGCAAGGGAGCTTCAAACATTGAAAGCATTTATGGCGGACGCTTCACTCAGGGCTACACCATCACTGGTACTGCTAGGTAGGAGAGGTTTATTAATGTTAACACCTAAGACGGTCGCGACAATTAACATCCATGGAAGAGAGATCCCCTTTTTTCACTAGTAGTATTTTATCTCGGGATGAGTATACTGGAAGTCTTTAAACTTGTCACGAAAGTGCAATTGAGTTCTAAGATTTTCAAAAAATGCAATTAAGTCATAAAACTTGTCAACCTGGTATAATCAAGTTCTTCCATTAACTCCGTTCAACTTGACAAATGGGATATGCTAATAAGTTTTAGGACTTGATTACACAAACTTGACAAATTTTAGGATATATTCTTATGTCGATTGCGTCATGTTTGAGTTGACCTGTTTTAAGATATACTCTTATGTCAACACGACACGAACGTGTCCCACAAACATTTATTGCCACCCCAGCCCTTAAGGCCTCAATAATCATGTTTCTCACCTCATTCCTTGCTAATCCTTGAAACTATAAGGTCGTTTCATCAAACTCAACACTACAAAGCTGTGCACATACTTCGCAGGAAAAATTACCTTATATGGTACGTGATCAATCGGTGTTGTGTTGGGAAAAAATTCTCTATGGATGATCCCGTTACTGATGATTCCCAACGAAATTCACACGTAGTCGTACATTCAAATATTTGCTTAAGGAATTAGCCTCTAGTTTTAACATCACTGTTACCATTGTCATCCATCCTAAGAAACATCAAGATTACTTCATGAAGCCTCCATGAATAGGAGATGAGATCGTAGTGATCATTGAGCTTAATTAGATCCTTAAATCAAACATAGCCATTCTAATCTCTTCGATAGGTATATAATTGGATTTACTTGGCTAAGTCAGGAAATTTTTCGCAGTCACTGAATACAGTCATAGGCACTTGGTTCACGTCCCTTTCCTTTCGTCATCAAACGTTAATATTAACAGATTCGACCTATTAATATTATGGTGTAACTGGTCATGACCAGTGATAACTGATGCAAACATGCCCACTCTTTTTTTCTCTTTTTTCTCAAAGTGCGTACAATAACTTTTGATGTATCGTGTTTCATAAAAAAGTATCGACAAATCACCTTCCAAAATGTGGATCGATATAAAAATCGATATAAAAATCAACAAAGGATGTGATTGGTCCTTTGTTGATTTTTGGACATGAACTGGGATTAATGAGAAAATTAAAGATACGATGACTGAAGCCAATCGTGGCCAACCATATAAAAGGGTATTGAAATGTAAAAATAACAGTAAGATATAATTGAATAGCTGATGTTCATTGATTGATCGACGGTCATTTAGCTCGAATTACAATTCTAATATTTATAGGTACTAGCGACGGTTAACAATAGTTATAAAGAAATCAAAAAACATTTTATGTGACTCCTAGAATTCAACAATATGTGAAATAATTGTCCGAAAAGTCATAAACCTATTATACGGCAGCTAATTCATTTCTAAAATTTTCAATTTAGCAAATTTAGTTCTAAATATTTTGACGATTTGCCAATATAGTCCTTTTGGTCAAAAATCACTAACGTGGATGCCGACCATCTTACGTGAAACGACCCGTACTGACGTGGGCGATTTTTGCAATTTTTTTAAGGATAATTTTTTTCATTTTTCATTTTTTCCTTTCCTTTCCTTTCCTCTTTCTTTTTCCTTTTGTTCTTTTTTCTATTTCCCTATGCTGGTCTCCAGGACGCCCTCGTCCGGCCCTCGCTTATGGCCGACAACCTCTGCTGACCATCATCGAGGCTCGGTGACTAGTGGAGGGAAATGGGGAAAAAAGAAAAGAGAAAAAGAAAAGAAATGAAACGGAAATAAAAAATTCAGAAAATTTAAAGAAAAATTGCAAAAATTGTCTACATTAGTGACTTCGACCAAAATTGACTAAGATGACTATATTGGCAAATCATCAGAAGGTTTATGACTAAATTTGCTAAATTAAAAAGTTTAAGACCAAGTTGATTGCCATACTCTAGGTTAGGACTTTGTGGATAATTTTCTCACACGTATTTACAAACAATTACCAAAAGACCCACTACTCATCGATTATGACCTCGTCACTTGCCCCATGTTAACGATTATGGCCTCGTCACTTGCCCCATGTCAACAGTTTCTTCCATAGCTTGCAACTCCTCTTCCTAGCGGATATAATAGCCTATGTTTCTCGGCAATTATCATTTGTGGCTTTTGAGATTTACGGATCCTCAAACTGGTGATCGTGCTAGCTTCACGATTAAATGGGTTGTTACAATTGCGGTCGATATTGTTGGCTTCGTGACTTGAATGCTTGTCATGTTCTTGATCCATCGATCTCCACTTCGATTTCGGTTCACCAGTCGACTGAACTAGGTCTCATCTACCGACACTTGTTGCTCAATACTTAGTACTTTTCCCTTGTATCACCTATCAGCAATTTTTCATTGCCTTTGTTGATTACCTATAGTTGCCGCCCAAAAGGACTTAGCAGATTTCACCTCAATCATGTCTTGCTTGGTCTTATTTAGCCCGAGTCGACGGTCAAGGACATAATTTTTTGTGTCAACAGTATGATATACGACCAACACAATTTCAGCAAGAAAGCCAAGTAGTTGGCAACAAACATAGTGATGTTTATTTGTAACTCAAGGAATTAAGAAAAAAATGAAAATTATGGGTGACGGTTGCTTGTGGGCATTGGTCAATAAGTTAGGCTAAACAGCTAGGGGAGGGGATTAAGAAAGACTAATAGTTCGATCAGTGATGGAGTCAAATACCAAACCTCGACATTTTCTTTTTCTAAAATTCGGGTTGTGCTGATACCTTATGATGTTACTTAGAAAGGAAGAGTGATGAGAAACAGGTGAAAATACGAAGCTCAAGGCCTTATGAAGACTACAATCATTGCTTCCCAGTTCCAAAAATATCGAAAATTCTTGCGTCACCATAAGAACATATGGAGATCTGTAAATTTGATCGATCTTGCCCGGGTTTCATACTTTAAGTTCACATGCTGCTGGTGCTTGCAATAAAGTGGCCGACATGAATAGCGAAAATTGGAACTTATCAAACTTTCAGAGTAAAGAGGCGGCGACTGGCGTGTCGGAAAATATGCTGCATAATCCGCCAATTTATTCCATGAGAATTGTTCATGGAAGTAAAGTGAATTTGATAGGACTGAACAGCATAAGAAGGCATTGCATTTGCTGATCTGATTCTGCAGATATCTAACCAATCCCATCTCACTGTCCAAGTACTTAATGCAAAAGGAGATCTATTCATAAGAGCAATGGTGGGTACACGCAGGAAAAACTTTCAACAAGATAGCTTAACACATGATGTAGCAAAAAATCTATGTTCATATACACAAACTGGCCAGTACTCGCCGACGACTGCCAGGCATGACCGGTGAAGTCAACTTTAATTGAAGTTCAAAGCACACATAGACAACATGTATTTGGAAGTCTAGGTTTATCGACAGGAAGCTCCGATAGATTGGAGCACCATCCAAACGTCTGACCGGAGATCAGGCCTATTTCTCCTGCTCATCTCGCAGCACCTCAAACCCAAATGAGTCAATTCCTTGGCCAGCATATAGGGCCACTCTCCAGCCAATGGATCCAAGATGGCCTCCAAAGTCCCTGCGCTAATTGCCCTTTGCACTTCCTTCGCTATTCTGAAGGCGGGCCTCCTTGTCAACAACTGCAGCAGTATAATTCCGAAAGAGTAGACATCGAACTTTGTTGTGAGCTCTTGTGTGACGAGGAACTCGGGGTCCATGTACCCGGGCGTCCCACTCAGGTCGGTTGTGTACAGGACTGTGGTGTTGTTGCTTGACCGCTCACCACTGGACAGAAATCGGCAGATGCCAAAATCGCTGAGCTTGCTCCCGAGGTGCGTGTCCAGAAGAATGTTCCCCGGTTTGACATCCCCGTGGATGATGCTGTAAGGCTTCCAAGAGTGGAGGAAGGCCAGGACGGAACACAGCTCCGTGGCAATGCGTATCCGGGCTCGCCACGACAGCTGCTCTGCTCTGTTACTGCTGTTGAGCCAGTCTTCGAGGCTTCCGTTCGGGAAATACTCATAAACAAGAGTCCAGGGCTCGGGACAAGCGCCGATGAGCGTGATGAGATTAGGATGCCTCACCCTGCTCAACACATCCACCTGGGATGCATTCAATTAAATATTTGATGATCAACTACAATATTATGCGACTGATGTACTATTATTGTGAATTCGTGATGCCATAGTGATATTATTGAGAAAAACAAATTGACATTGTGATAAACCGAGTCTTTATATTTTCTTATTATTCCTACTTTTGGTTTCAGAAAAAACATGAAAACAAGTAGAGGATGCTCAAGAATTCTTACTTCCTGTTGAAATTGTTGTGCACCTTGCAAGCTACAAAACTTCATCTTCTTTATAGCCACCGGCGTATGTCGAAGGAAACCTTTATACACGCTCCCGCAACTGCCTTCTCCGATTTTCATGGACGGGTCGAAGTTTTGTGCAGCCTCCTTGATTTCGGTCATAGAGAACTCGGAAAAGTACTTTGTGCCCGAGAAATCTCCTTGTCTTCTGCTCATTTCCTTGGTCTTTTGGCGCGCTTTGTCGTGGTCTGTCTGCAATAGCTCCGATTCCTTTCTGCTCTGGTAGGTCTCTGCGAATTGGCTATCGAGTCGCAATTTCTGCTCCTGGGCTGTGTGAGGTTCTTCCATCACTTTGTATAGCTGATCCTTCATCTTCTCAAGTTCTTCCTCCAATTTCTCAGCACATAATGGATACTTCTGCTGAAAATTTACCCATATTACTACACTCAATCAATGGGAAAAGTACAAAAAAAAGTCCTTGACTTATTGTATTGGTATCAATTCAGTCCGAAAACTTTTAATTTGATCAATATAGTACTAAACCTTTTTGCTTTGATCGGTCACCAGCCACCGGCCATAGGCGAGGGTCAGCCTCGCTGGCGAGGCTCCCATGCCAGATTTGGCGAGGCCAACCCTTGTCCAAGCCAGGGCGGCCTCGCCTTGGGGAGTGCTAAACTTTGCAATATTCCTTTGAAGGACTTTCTTCTTAGCTATGAAACAAGACAACCAAAGCTAGAGAAATGGCCTCCTGGCTAGAGAACATGAAAATGACTATCCGTTGTCATATTTTGCACATACCAGAGTGTTGGAAAGTGATGACTCGCCGGTATGATAGACTGACTGAATCAACTGTGGCCGATGGGAAAGACTCGTTGAAACCGGTTCAGGTTCCTGGAAATTGTCTGGCCTCTCCAGCATGCTCACCACATTAGGCTGCACTGAAGGAGTGCTATCTGGGCAAGGAGAAGTTGTTGGCATCACTGCACGTCGGTCCACGTTGGAAGAGAATGGTCTTCTGAAAAAGTCTTGTATTGGATTGCTCAAATTTGCCGTACCACTCTGGAGTGCGTTGGATCGTGATTGCGAGAGAATCGACCTTTCGGTTCCATGGGTTCGAGTCGTTGGCAATGGCGCACCAGTAGGAACTTCTGCAACAGCTTGAACCGTCCTAGCTTCCCTGTTTTGACAAGGAATCAAAGCCACTTTATGGTGGAGCCAAATTTGTCACATCACTCTATAAATTAGCCGTCTGTACTAAGACTCCAAGCCTATAAACGTTCCTATTTGTACTGAATTTCAATCGAAAATTTGATTTTAGCCCTATTATCCAAAGGAAGAAGATATAATGGAGAACATGAATAAAATTATGTCCCCGCCTCTTCCCAACCTAATATTCTAAGTTTCCTATGGCATTCAACTATTTCAACAAGATCTATCAGCTCATTTTTTTTCACATCGATTATTTGATGTAGAATTTGTTTTCACTATCACCCTCATATCACATTTGATAATTTCGAAGGAGACAAATTTAAAAGTAAACAAGCTGGAGGACCTTGTGTGAATGAGGTGCCCATTGCAGATAAACCGAATTTGGCAAGAGATGTGTGCTTCATTGTGAACGAAGATGGCTTTCTTGGACTTGATTTCTGTCATCTTACTGACAATTTGAAACCAAAGAAGATAGTGAATTAATTTGGTGTACATGCAGATACTACGAAACATAAACTTGCAGGCACAACACAAGAGACTTTTAGATTCCCGGGACGATATGTAACTGATTTTTATTTTATGTTTTCACTCAATAGGAAAATAAGATGATTCATATTACGTGAAATAGAGTAGTGGACTTGGGGCGAACTGAAACATCGCGTTTGAGAAGCACCGACAAGTTTCCTCAAATATCGGACATGTACAACACGTTTTAAGGATTGATAAAGATATAAGTGTATGGTTTATTGTTGTATTCTAGGATCCAAACAAACCTGTCCGTTTAGTTATGAGGAGGATAGAGTTGGATGGATAAGTCCCCGACCATATGGGCGTGGCTTTTTGTTCTTGTACGTACCTGAAATAGCGCTTGTCTGCTGCTGCACCCATTACAAGCTTTTTTATCCCATGCAAACGAATGAGCTCTACAATGCCCGTTTCAACACTTTTTGACTCTATGTACTCTTTCTCTGCCTGTACCTATAAATCAATAAAGTTACTTCATTATTATCATCGTGTCTAAATGAAGAAGTATATATAGGAAAAATTATCCAAAATGTCATAAACCTATTGTACGAAAGCAAATTCAGTCATAAATCTTTCAATTGTGTCAATTTAGTTCTAAATTTTTTTTAATGATTTGCCAATTTAGTCTTAAACTTTTTAACAATTTGCCAATTTAGTCATTTGGCTGGAAATTGCTAGCGTGGCGGTCTAGTCAACGTCAGTCGTCTTACACGGCACGACCAATGTTAACGTCGACAATTTTTTGCAATTTTTTTTTTAAAATTTTATGAATTTTTTCTGTTTTTTCCTTTCCTTTCCTTTCCTTTTCTTTTTCTTTTTCTTTTTTCTTTTTCCCTCCGTCGGCCATCGCCAAGCCTCGTCAATGGTTGGCGGAGGTCGCTGGCCTCGGGTGAAGGCCAAGGGCACCCTCGCTTGGGTTGGCGAGGGCATCCCTTGCCAAATCGAGCGAGGGCGAGGGTTAGCGCTGTGCCAGATCCGGTGAGGGCCCTCACCCTAGGCCGGTGAGGGTGACCCTCGCAGCCTAGGTGAGAACGGCCCTCTCCTAAGGCTCTCCAGCGGCCATCCACGAGGCCAGATGATGGTCGGCGGAGGAAAAAAGAAAAAGAAAAAAAAGGAAAGGAAAAAAATGAAAAAAATTGTTCAATTCAGCGATTTTCGGCCAAAATTAGCAGGAACGATTAAATTAGCAATCATTAAAAGGTTTAGGACTAAATTAGCAAATCATCAGAAGTTTAAAGACTAAATTGTCAAGTTGTTAAAAGGTTTAGGACTAAATTGGCACAATTGAAAAGTTTATAACTGAATTGGCCATTGTACAATAGGTTTAGTATTTGTGTGATTCGCTGACACTTCAAGAAGCACTGACCAGGACAATTAATCATCTAGAAGAAAAAGGAGGAGGAGGAGGTAAATTACCCCCATTTTTTCACAAACGCGCACGTAGGTATCCAAGAGTTTATGCATGTTTATCCTCTCTTTTTCTCTGTGTTCTTTCAACATTATCTCGTTCGCCGAGCTCGCGGGGATTTGGGCACCCAGGCCTCCTGCAAACCAAAGGCAAATTAACAGCACAAAAATGTTAAAAGAACGAAAATCGACAATAATAGAACAGGTAAAAGCAATAGGATATCCAATATGGTGCAACATCGCAAAACCCTCAAAAGGGAATTTTGACTAATTGCATAACGATTGTCCATCATGGAAGATCCGTGTACTATATCCATGAGAGCTTGATAAGCTCTTATTTTCACTATTAATAAAAAACTCGTACAACAAAGAAAACGATAGCCACAATCAATGGCTGGTAATATGCAAAGAAAGAGAAAAACGTTTGACTTACTCATGGGGATCGTCTGTGAAGGAACTAGAACATGAATGATACAGATCTTGACGTGGCCTCCTGATCGATGCACTGTCCAAACAAGCTTCACTTTGCCCTCTTTCACATCCTTCCCAGGCGCGACATAAATCTTGTCTTCGAACGCTGGCGTTGTCAATTCAGGTGCGACCCCGTGAAAGCACGGCATGATCGCTGGGATTCTGAACCCAGGAAGTGTGGGTATGTGATTAACCACGGCCATATCGGCACGAGTCAAGTACGACGATGACGACTCTTAACAAGAAAAGAAAGCGCACAATCTCAGGAGTGTCTCCAATGGAGGTAGCTCGCTAGTGAGAGAAGACAAGAGAGAGAGGAACAGAAAGCGATACATGGGAACTCTCTAAGAAACGGAAACTAAGTAAAGTGGGGAGTCCCTCAAACGAGGTCATGTGTTGAGGTCGCAGTTGAGGAGGGTATGGCTGGGTTATAAAGAGATCGCTTTTCCTAATGCTTACATACCATGAGACCAACGCGGACTCTCTTTTCACGGGTAATGAGTGAGCACTTTCTCGGTGGGCTCCTTCTTAGCATTGTTTGATGGCTTGCTACACCATCGCAGATTTTCGTGGTTTGATTGGGTGACCTATATCTCCAAGAGAGTAGTAACGAATTCCACTATAAATTGAGCAATATAACGGAGATTACAATCACACACGAGTACTCAAACGCTCTTAGTGTTTCCCAACTTCCAATTGTATTCAATAACTCACACAGTCTATAGCTTTAATACTAATTGTTGCGGAAGCAATCGATCAAACAGTAAAATAGACAGAACAAGAAAAATAATTCGGACGCCAGATTTATGTGGTTTGGTTGGGTGACCTACGTTCACGGGAAGAGCAGCAATGAATTTCACTGTAGATCAAGCTGATTTGTCAAGACCAACAAAAGCCGTGAATTTGCTGATTACGTTTTGTTGTAGTTAGTCTTATGAGTTTAATATAAATTTTTAGATTTGGGATTTCGGCCCACCAATCTACAACATGGCTTTGATACCATTTGTTGGGAGTGCATAACAGAAGCTTGATACATTCACTTGGAGAGACCGTCAAGAGGAAGCCTAAGTCCGAGTTGACATATCCAGTTAGATCCACATTCATTCAAAAACTTAAACCAATGAATTATGAGTCAACTAGGATATATTAACTGCTCCAGTTAGATCCACATTCATTTAAAAACTTAAACTAACGAGTTATGAGTCAATTAGAATCACATGAGATTCTAATGAGGTCTAGCATCCTCCGGATAAGCTTGCGCCTGGTTCTGCTTTTAGTGATCACAAATGCTTAGCTTTTCCAAAACTTTTTGGTGGTTATCTTGAGCACATTCGTTTACCCCGAATTGCTTCAAGTGAGGAGCTTCTTGCAAACTGCTGCTGCTAGGGTTTGCCATATTGGACTTTTCAAAGTACTCGTCGATTCTGGGTACAGCTAATGAGAGATCTCTGTGTCTCCATCCATCCATCCATCAATCAATTAATGTTGTGGGATCCATTCATTTAGGTTTTTACGAAGAAGAGAAAGCAATTATAAAATTTTCCGAAACAGACAAGTCTTAGGTAATTGACACCCGTAGATGAAACTTGATTGACGTGACAAGAGAAAGATCTTATTGTCATGTGGCGTTGGATCGTCGTCCAATGTCTGATCCCTCTTTTCTTACCAATTTCCTACTCCAGTCAAGGAAGTTGGCCTCATCTTCTTGCCTTTTTGCTTCTGCGAAACAGCTCAATTTGGAAGGGGACAAATGTCATAGCTACCAATATCACCTAAAGGGGGTAATTGGATAATTGTAAGAACTCTTGACAATTTAATGCAGAAGGTAAACAGTCAAGTTGAGTATTATCAAATTCGAGTGAAGTCAGAGTTTGAATACTAACAGTGATATGATGATATTCATCAGTGCGCAAAATTCTATTAAAAATAATGAACAAGAGTTGAGAGATAGAAGAAATTGCACACATAATTTATAAGGGTTAATGCCACGAAAAATCCCAAACTGGTACATCTGTGATAATTTTACCTCAAACTAATTTTTTGACCATAAAAAATCCCAAACTGGTACACTTATGACAAATTTACTCTCAGTTTGTTTCCGTTAAATTTTACTGTGAAATTACTTTGTTAAATTACACGCGACAGTTAACTGATGTATCAGTTTTATGTTTTACCCTTTATTTGTCACAGATATACCGGTTTGTGATTTTTGTAGTATTAATTCAATTTAACGGAAACTAACAGAGGGTAAATTTGTTACAAATGCACCAGTTTGGAGTTTTTAGTGGTCAAAATATTAGTTTGGGGCAAATTTATCACAAGTATACTAGTTTTGAGTTTTTTGTGGTCAAAAAAATAGTTTGAGATAAAATTGTCACAGGTATACGAGTTTGGAGTTTTTCGTGGTATTAACCCAATTTATAATGATTCGGCTTAGAGCAAGCCCACGTTCACTTTTCTACACTGACAACCTACTGGCTAAATTTCACTAGTCAATCAATAAGAGGTTACACAAGTGAGTGATAATTCTCTTATTTGTTACAGGTCTCACTATGTCATGCAATTACTCTTTCAATGCCTCTTAAAGGATTACAGTTCATAGCTCACAAAATACAAGTATGTAAGATTGAAGTTCTCTTAAACTTTGAAACTTTTTATTCTCAATCTCTCTTTGCTCTTTGGCACTTTGGTCTCCTTTTATACTCCTAAACTTCCTATCTATCCATTGGACAGTCTTTAGAGAATCTCCAAACAACCCGTTGGACAAAAATGTACATAGAAGATTGAGTAGCTGTTGAAAGATAAGATATAAATCTCCGTGGATTTGGTCACCTATACAAACAAATGTTGGTTTCCATAGGTAGAGTTCTTCCATTAAGGAAGGTAGCTTGCCCTTGGAGTGATTGCCAATCAATCAAGATGCCTTGTGTGAAAAAATTTCGTTGCAGAACAATTTTTAAGATTGAAGATCAATCAATGCCTTTTCTTTTGGAAATCTAAGCCATATCACTAGCTGTGACGATATAAGTAAAAGAGTTTGTGTCTAAATATATATATGGACATAAGTAAATTTCGTAATCTAATGATATTTAACTTTAGCATAGAATTTGAATCAAATGATTTAATAAGATCCGCGTATAAGCTTTGCTGATATGAACACTGTTGCTCTGATGATTTCCATGCAATAATATTGATGATATCCACAAAGTAATTGTCTTAAGCTGCCGCCGCAGTATTTAAACAATAGTAGATAAAGTTCGAGTATAATCAAGATTGATATGAACTTCTCTTCATGAGTATTTCTGAAAGAAAACACTTATGTGCATTTATCAGATTCAAGATAAACCATTGATTGTTTTGTCAACTTCAAAATATATTATGAGATTTTCTCAACAACAAAAAGGTGAGAAGGCTTATAGCTTCGGGATTAAATAAATTCTACTTTCTTATTACAAAAATTTACAGTTGGAGATATTTAAATAATAATGGATAATGATAACCCATATCTACACAGGGATATTTATATCATAAATAGTAGGGATAAATGCATCGGTAGCGAAAGTGCAGTTGGGTCCCATTTTTTTTTAAAAGTGCAATTAAGTACTAAAATTTGTCAAATTAGTGCGATCAAGTAATTCTGTTAACTTCGTCTAATTTGGCTAACGAAAAATGCCGGTGTGGCCTTTTTTTTTTATTACTTTCTTAAGACAAGTGGCGCCAACCAAGCGCCACATTAGAATAAATTAAAATTTTAAAATAAAAGTTTCAAAAAGCTTTAAAAAAAAAAGAAAAACAATTAGTGAGCATTTTCCCTTTAACTGTTCAAATTCTTCTTTATTTCCGCGGTTCATTTTCTTCTTTCAGCCGTGGCTGAAAGGAGGTGCAAGTCAAATCGTTCATCCTTTGTCGTGGAACTGATCATCTTCTTCTTTCAATCAAATTGGTGCAATCAAGGAGAATTGAAGGGTGAAGAACACTAGAAGTGCCAAAATTTGTGTACGGCGCTCACTTTAGTATCAAAAGTTTGTTTCGGATCACTTAAGTGCCAACGACGAAAAATTCTGGCCAAATAAATACGTGACTTTTTTAATTAAAATTTTAATTTACGTGGCATTTCAAGTGTATATTTCGAATTTCTCAGTCCTACGTGGCATTTTCATGTGTAAATTTCGAATTTTTAATTATTTTTTTCTGTTTTTTCCTTCTTTTCTTTTTTTCTTCTTTTTCTTCGTTTGGCCGGTGACTAGACACCGGCCACCGGCCATGGCCAGCCGCCTGGCCTCGCTTGGATGAGGCCGCCGTTGCCTGCCACGGGCGAGACCTGGCTGACCTTCGATTGGGCGAGGGCGGGCAAGCCCTTTCGAGGGTCGGCCTCGCCTCGCCTGGGCAAGGGCGAGCCTCGGCGAGGCGAGGCCGGCCCTCGCCTAGGCCACGGCGGCCTCGCCTCGCTGGGCAAGGGCGAGCCCGGGGGAGGCGAGGCCGGCCCGCGTTGGGGTCGCCTTCCCCGGGTGACGCCCGGTGAGGCCACCGTGGCCCGGGCGAGGCCGGCCACGCCTCCCGGGGCTCGCCCTTGCCCGGGAGGCGAGGCCGGCCCTCGTCCGAGCCACGGCGGCCTTGCCAGGGTCGCCTTCCCGGTGACGCTCGGCGAGGCTGCCGTGTGGCTGGGCGAGGGTCGGCCCTGTCGGGATCCGGCGAGGCCGACCTCGCCTCGCCCGGGCACGCCCTTGCCCGGGCGAGGCGAGGCCGGTCCTCTCCCAGATCCGGCGGGCCGGCCCTTGCCTAGGCCACGGCGGCCTCGCCAGGGTCACCTTCCCGGGCGACGCCGCCGAGGCTGCCGTGGCCTGGGTGAGGCCGGTCTCGCTCGCTCGGGCAAGGGCGAGCCCCGTGAAGCAAGGCCGGACCTCGCCCGGGCCACGGCGGCCTCGGCCGGGCGTCGCCCGGGAAGGCTACGCCCGGCGAGGCCGCCGTGGCCTAGGCGAGGGCCGGCCTCGCCTCGCTCGTGGCGGGCGACGGCGGCCTCATCTGGGCGAGGCCAGGCGGCCGGCCATGGCTGGTGGCCGGTGTCCGGTCATCGGCCAAACGAAGAAGAAGAAGAAAGAAAAGAAAAAAAGAAAAAAGGAAAAAAACAGAAAAAAAATTAGAAAAAAAATTTAAAAATATTAAAATATTATTAAATATTATTCTCGTCAGCGCCGACGTGCCACGTAGGATTGAGAAATTAATAAAATATGGCTACGTCAGATTTCCGGCGATCCAAATTGGAATTGGCACTTAAGTGATCGTTTTTTCAAAAAAGTGACACTTAAGTGATCCGAAACAAATTTTTGACACTAAAGTGAGTGCCGTACACAAGTTTTGGCACTTCTAGTGTTCTTCACCCGAGAATTGAAAGAAGGTGCGCCCGGCCATGGCTGAAACAAGGTGCTCACGGCCATGGCTGCTT